TTCTGATTTCATTCTCTTACATGTAGCTGTCCAGTTTTCCCAGTACTGCTTATTAAAGAGACTTTCTTTTTTCCATAGTATATATTTTTGCCTCCTTTGTTGTAGATTAATTGACCATAAGTGCATGGGTTTATTTCTGGACTTCCTATAATGTTCCATTGATCTATGTGTCTGTTTTTGTGCCAGTACCATACTGTTTTGGTTACTGTAGCTTTTTAGTATAGTCTGAAGCCAAGGAGCATGATTCCCCCAGCTCCATTCTTCTTTTGCAAGATTTTTTTAGATATTTGTGGTTTTTTGTTTCCATGCAAATTTAAACTTTTTTTTTTGTTCTAGTTCTGTGAAAAGTGCCATTGGTAATTTGATAGGGATTCCACTGAATCTGTAGATTATTTTGGTAGCATGGTCATTTGAACAATATTGATTCTTCCCATCCAAGAACACCAGTGTTATCTCTCCTTCTGTTTGTGTGTTTTCATTTTCTTTTATCAGCATTTTACAGTTCTCAGGAGTACAGGCCTTTGCCTCCTTAGGTAGGTTTATTCCTAGGTGTTTTGATGCAATGGTAAATGGGACTGTTTCCTTAATTTCTCTTTCTGATATTTCATTTTTAGTGTGTAGAAATGCAACAGATTTCTGTATATTAATTTGGCATCCTGCAACTTTACCAAATTCATTGATTAGCTCTAGTAGTTTTCTGATAGTGTCTTAAGGAATTTCTATGTATAGTATCTTATCATCTGAAATAGTGACAGTTTTACTACTACTTTTCCAATTTGGGTTCCTTTTATTTCTTTTTCTTCTCTGATTGATGTGGCAAGGACTTCCAAAACTATGTTGAATAAAAGTGGTGAGAGTGGGAATTTGTCTTATTCCTGATCTTAGAATGCTTTCAGTTTTTCAGATGGAATACTCTATAAATCTCAATTAAGTCCATTTTGTCTAATGTGTTCATTTAGGCCTGTATTCCCATATTGATTTTTCTGTCTGGATGATCTATCCATTGATGAAAGTGGGGTGTTAAAGTCCCCGCTATTACTGTGTTACTGTCAGTTTCTCCTATGTCTGTTAATATTTGCTTTGTATATTGAAGTGTTCATATGTTAAGTGCATATATATTTATATATTTACCACTGTTATACTTCTTCTTGAATTGACCCCTCGATCCTTATGTAGTGTCCTTCTTTGTCTCTTGTAACAGTCTTTATTTTAAGGTCTGTTTTGTCTGATATAAGTATTGCTACTTTGGCTTTCTTCTGGTTTCCATTTGCCTGGAATACCTTTTCCCACACCCTCACTTTCAGTCTGTATGTGTCTCTAGATCTGAAGTGAGTCTCTATGTAGGCAGCATACATACAGGTCTTGTTTTTTTTAATCCTTTCAGCCAGTCTGTGTCTTTTGGTTGTAGCATTTAGTCCATTTACATTTAAGGTAATTATTGATATGAATGTTCTTAAGCCATTTTGTTAATTGTTTTGGGTTTGTTTTTGTAGGTATTCCCCCCACCTACCTTCTTTTTTTGTCAATTTGATTACTGTATGTCTTGGTGTGTTCCTCTTTGGGTTCATCCTGTATGACACTGCCCTTACTGGACTTGCATGACTGCTTCCTTTCCCAAGATAGGGAAGTTTTCAGCTATTATCTCTTCAAATATTTTCCCAGGCCCTTTCTCTCTCTTTCTTCTGGGATCCCTTTAATGTGAATATTCATGCACTTGGTACTGTCCTGGAGGTCTCTTAAACTGTCCTCATTTCTTTTCACTCTTTTTCTCTTTTTTCTGTTCTGTGGCAATGATTACCACTAGTGTGTTTTCCAGCTTACTGATCCATTCTTCTGCCTCATTTAGTCTACTATTGATTCCTTCTATTTTTCATTTCAGTTATTATAGTCGTCATCTCTCTTTGATCTTTGTATTTTCTAACTCTTTGTTAAAAACATGTAATTTCTCACTTTGTGCATCCATTCTCCTCCTGAGTTCTTTGGTCATCTTCATAATCATTACTCTGAACTCTTTCTCACGTAGATTGCCTATCTCCACTTAGTTCTTATTCTGAGTATTTTTTAAACGCCTTTATTGTGGTATGATTCCTATACAGTAAAATACACATATTTCAGATGTACAATTTGATGAATTTTGATAGATGTATATACCTATGAAACCACCACCACAATCAAGATAGCTAACATTTCCATCACTCCCTAAGAGGTGCAGATTTCAAATTCCCAATTTATCCTTTCCCACTCCTTTTCCCACCTAGTAACCATAAGTTTATTCTCTATGTGTGTGAGTCTGTTTCTTTCTTTCTTTTTTTTTCTCACATTTTTTTGGGGGTAAGGGTGATAATTAGGTTTATTTATTTTAATGGTGGTACTGAGGACTGAACTCAGGACCTTGTGCATGCTAGGCAAGCACTCTACCACTGAGCTATACTCTTCCTCCTAGTCTGTTTCTGTTTTGTACATAAGTTCATTTGTGTCCTTTTTTTTAGGTTCCACATATAAGCAATATCATATGGTATTTTCTTTCTCTTTCTGGCTTACTTCACTTAGAGTGACAATCACCAGGTCGTCCATGTTGCTGCAAATGGTATTATTTTATTTTTTATGGCTGAGTAGTATTCCATTGTATAAATATATCACATTTTCTTTATCCAGTCA